AGGAAGGACAGGATGTCCCCAAGGAGTAGGATGGGATGTCCCCAAGGAATGGGGCTCAGGAAGGGTGGCACTGTCCCCAACTATTGGGGCTCAAGAAGGATGGAATGTCCCCAAGGAATGGGATCAGGAAGGACAGGATGTCCCCAAGGAGTAGGATGGGATGTCCTCAAGGAAAGGGCTCAGGAATGATGGGATGTCCCCAAGGAATGGGTCTTGGGAATGGTGGCATTGTCCCCAAGGAAAGGATTTAAGGAAGGGTGGCATTGTCCCCAGCGAATGGCACTCAGGAGGACGGGATGTCCCCAAGGAAGGGCTCAGGGAGGGTGGCTCTGTCCCCATGGAATGGGGTTTAGGAAGGACAGGATGTCCCCAGGGAATGGGATCAGAAATGTCCCCAAGGAAATGGATTTAGGAGTGTCCCCAGAGAGTGGGATCAGGAATGTCCCCAAGGAGCAGGATCAGGAATGTCCCCGAGGTCCCTCCCCGTGTCCCCAGGGTCCCTCCCCGTGTCCCCAGGGTCCCTCCCCGTGTCCCCGCGCTGTCACTTACGGCTCGCCTGCCTCCTGACCGTTCCCTGCAAGACAAGGGGAGCGGGCTGCGGTGAATTCCCGCGGGAATGCCGGGGGTCCCCGTGTCCCCGCCAGGCTCACCGCCATCCCGGGGGCCAGGATGAGGTTGCCCACGGTGGCCCGGAGCTGCTCGGCGCTGGCCTGGGCGCTGCCGGGCGCCTCGCGGGGTTTGATGTGAACCAGGAACCGCCGCGGCTCCGCCTCCTCGTAGTCGGAATCGCTGGAGGAGCTCCCGGCGTTCTCCACCTCGCCTGAGACCCCCGGGGTCAAGGAAATTCCCGGCTGGAATTCGCCCTTGGATCCCATAACAATTCCCATCGGGATTCCCTCTGCATCCCATAAAAGTTCCCATTGGGATTCCCCCTGGATCCCATAAAAAATCCTATTGGAATTCCCTCTGGATCCCATAAAAATTCCCATTGGGATTCCCTCCGGATCCCACAGAAATTCCTGACTGGAATTGCCCCTGGATCCCATGGGAATTGCCCTTGGATCTCACAAAAATTCCCATTGGATTTTCCTCTGCATCCCATAAAAATTCCCATTGGAATTCCCCTTGAATCCCACAGAAATTCCTGACTGGAATTCCCTCTAGATACCCAAAAAATTCTCGGTTGGAATTCCCTCTGGATCCCATTTTAAAAATCGCATTGGAATTCCCTCTGGATCCCCAGGAATTCCCAGTTGGAATTGCCCTTGGATCCCATTGGAATTCCCTCTGGATCCCATAAAAATTCCTGGTTGGAATTGTCCTTGGATCTTCCAGGAATTCCCGGCTGGAATTCCCCCCAGAATTCCCGGTTGGAATTGCCCCCAGATCCCACAGAAATTCCTGGTTGGAATTGCGCTTGGATCCCATTGGAATTCCCCCCGAATCTCCCGGAATTCCCGGCTGGAATTCCCCCCGGAATTCCCAAGGATACTGCGCTCCGTGTCCGGCCGCACGGTGAATCCGTCCTCGTCCACCTCCGGGCAGCCCTGCCGGGACACGCTCCGACATTCCCAGTGCTCCCAGTTTGGGAACGGCCGTGCGGGGTGGGGGGGGGCACTGGGACACTCACCAGGTCATTGTCCGGAGATTCCCTGGGAATGACAGCGGGACAGTCAGGAGGGGCGGGGATGTGGGAATTTGGGGGTGTGGGAATTTGGGGGTGTGGGAATTCTGCGATACAGGATGAGGGAATTCAGGGATGAGGGAATGTGGGGATTCAGGGAATGTGGGGATTCAGGGATGCAAAGCTGCCAGGATTCAGGGATCCAAGGTTGCAGGAATGCAGGAACACTGGGATGCAGGAACAGCGGGATACAGGGATGCAGGAACAGAGGGATGCAGGAATTCTGGGATGTAGGAACACCGGGATGCAGGGATGCAGGAGACACCGGGATGCAGGAATTCTAGGATGCAGGAACTCTGGGA